TCACCTGACGTAAATATTTCATTGATACAAAAGTTCTGTAGCTCATATGTACAAAAAAAATAATTCGCGCGAATCGGAATACTTGCACGAATAATATAAGACCTTTGGAGCAACGATTGGAAGCGTAGAAAAACAATTATTACTTAGAATGCAATTTGTGGTAATTCGTACGCTCGCCTGAGGTAAAGACAGCAAAAATTACGTTTGGCAGTAGTGCCGGATTTTCCAAGAGATGGCACTTCAATAAGTTAGATAAGGACATTCCACGTGTTTGAGCGAGACAGAAGATATTGTAAGAAGTTCATTTAGAGATACCACTGACACTGAAGAGTCTGCTTTATCGACTTCGTACAAATTTGGCCGACCTTTCAGCATCCTCTTAATGTCAAATTGTGTCAAGATATTAATTTTATGTAGTCAAGATTATTTTTTATAATGCCTATATATATATATATATATATATATACATATATATATATATATATATGTATATGAATTTATATGTAAAGGCATTGTATATATAAATTATTTATTAATTTCCCATTTATTTTATAGTGTGTATAATATCACACGCAAAGTATTTTTTTCATTACATTACATTTCCATCGCGTATTATACTCTAATAAAAAAGTTAATATATATCGAATGCAGAAACTTGAGGAACTCGATATTGTTAAGTTTGATAGAATCTCAGTGACTTTTGAGATTTCCCAACATCACTGGAATTTGAATGACGTTCGTTTTAATTTAAATTCCAATCCAACCGTCGTCTCTCACTCTTTCTCTTTTTCTCGATTTTAAAATCCACACAAGAAAAGAATATATTGAATTGCTGGCATTAGGTCTACAGATCGAGCAGTCAAAGATCGCGAAAAATGGGGCGAGGTCGACGAGGGAATGAGATCGAAGGGCGACATCAGAGCGAGATCAATCAAAGGCAAAATGAGACGGCAGAAGAGGGAATGCTGGACGAAGCTCCTGCGCGCTCATAAGCGCGGAGAGCTCACTAGAAAGCACAGTGAAAAAGAAAAAATTCGTCTCCTTCAGAAGATGATGGCACCGCCTGAGGAATTCGCCGGTATGACGGAATATGTGAGAAAAGCTAAAAAGGAGATCCATGAAGCCGGCGTGGCGGGGACAAAAGCAAGGAAATTCACCAAGAAAGCTTTGAAAAGCAGGTTAGTTCCGATCCTAGGTTTTTCGGAATTGGACTTCGACTGGTTTATTTTTAGAATTCTATTTTCGGGAGATCTCATCTTCTTTGAATTGTACTTCGAGAGCTTTCTCGAGCTTCGTTATCTTTCGCTTTGTCTAAATGTATTTTTTTCATTTCATTTCACCGATATTATTTCTTTTAAAAATATTGAACATAAACACCGAATTATAGAATAGGGACAATTTAATACATTTGCGTGAGAATAGAATATCTCGTCGCGCTTCTATCATTTCAAGAATCCACGGACTCGAAAATTGAATTTTTCGCCGCATTCCGTTCGATGTATTCGACTATCGATAATTTAGCCACGATATTCCATACAGTGCTACAGCTGCGGAAAAATCTCGAGACACCCCAAGGGGATCGGGAAGAGGTGAGGTAGATCTTGCCAAGGAGGTCACGAGCGCGACAAAGAGGATCCTTACCGCGCGGAAGGGAAGGAAGGTGTGTCGTACGATCGTCATGACGGATCCTTGCGTTCCCTGGCAGCCACCATCCCTTGCGAAGGATCTGCAGACACTTTTCGGAGGTCTTCCGCCGGAATCGATCGAAAAAGAGACGAAACCCGACGTGGCTTGCACGGAGGAGATCGAAGCCGCTCGCGCTTATCCACGGATTTCCGATTTCCAATCCATCGAGTAATGTTGCGTTATTTGAAGCGTTCCTAACATTTTTTTATGTCAGTGCTACAACTGCTACAATACTACTTTCAAAGATTTTTTTCTTTGAAAGTATAAAAGAAAATTTCTTTAATTTAAAAAATACTGATATCTCGCGTATAATGAATATTCTTTTTTATTTAAATCATTTTTATTGTACTTTATGCGACTAAAAAAAAACAAAATTATAAATAGACTAGTTAAGAATTCGAAATATTCTATACGGTAAGTAAGGATACTTGCACGGAAAGAACGATTTTGTTGAAAGATTTAGAAATTTTGCTAAAAACAGATCTGAATATAATTTTTTATTGAATCATCAAAATAATTGATTGGAATGTTAAAACTGATAAGTATTGCTATAAAACGTTTTGATATTCTAGCAATTATTTTGACTTTTGCACAAAATAATTTTGATTATTGAACAAAAATTATTTTCAGATCTGGATTCAGCAAAATTGTTCTTTCCGTGTGACGTAAGAATATGACAAATGTTTTATATTTATTAGTCAATTAATATAGTTGAGTTAGCGTACAATAAAGATTTACTGTTATATACTTATTACTCTTTAGCAGTAATATATTTATTGCATTAGTTCATCATATTTGTTTCAATTCACATTGCGTGTGCGTGAAACTATTATTTACCTTTTCTGATACATAAATCACTTGTGTATGTATACATATATCTTCGATCCGTCGATTTTCTCCGGGATTCACCGTGAAAAATCGGCTCGTGCAAACTAACTTAATCCCATTCGCTCGAGGCTACACGGCAATTCGTATTATCGTGAGTCGAAAGGGAACGACGGGAAATCCTGCCGGGTCTTCAGGGATTCGGGATGATAAATTCGCGCGGGAAGAGCTAACATTCAAGACCCGATTCCGGTCGTGGACCGGACAGTGGGGCAAGACATTTCCGGCGAGAACACCAACGGTCCAGCTCGACCTCCGGCGTACCATCACCACCGAGTGAAACTCGCGCGCACACGCGCGCATCAATCAGCGAGCGTCGTACCACCACGACGTATGCAAAAGCCCTTCACCCTTCGCACGACGACAAGTTAAGGCGCTACGAACCTCCGCGAGTCGCACCTCCTTCACCGACAATGTTCCCAGACGAAAGTTCGACGTGCTTTAACGAAAGTTGAAATGGAAGTTTTCTCCTGCGAGCAATTTCAGTTCCCTCGAGGAGAAACGAGAGCGATTTGAGAAGGGATATATAAGCAAACTGTGTACTTTTCGTTAATCTATGAGTTCTTCGACGCGTTCAAAAGGGCCGCGTTTTCTTAGTGAAAGTTTAAATTGGCAACACCGCGCCTTCCACGGAACGTTTTTATTGCACGAAATCAAACGCTTTGACGATTTCTTACCATTTTATCGTATCACTTGCGGAAGTAAAATCGTAGTTTCAACCGCACCGTTTCACGAATGACGACAGGATTGCGTATTGCATTGCGTATGGCGCTCGTTATTTACAGATTGCTCAAGAAGTAGCTGACGTCTCCGGAAGATAGTTGGAAAGAAGTTTTATCAGTTAAGTCAGACAGGAGTAATACCCGAGTGGGCAGGTTCCCCTGGCGTTCGCAAGAAAATAATTGTTTCTACTTGGCAAGTTTTCACATACCTATATTTTTTCCGCCATTCAGAGCACACGGCTGACAATAGCTCGGAGAATGCATTTCGAAATATTTCCTAATATATGCATAATTATAATTATGCGATATTACTTGGATATCACTTAATGAGACCGTCCTGAGACTCGATGACTCACAATCGCACGTGATTTAATTATTACATTTTATATTAATTAAAGGGTAAAATCCCTCTCGTGAAGTAACTATACTCGTATTGTAAAATTAATTAACATTAAGCTTTAAAGCTTCTAGTTAATGCAATACTCTATTATAAACAATAATCAAATTTCCTTCAGTTTATATTTTATTAATACTTTATAATTATTCTGTATGTATATAACACAAACTTTATAGACTTATGCGAATATATTACCGCATAACTCAAACTTGTACAAAGCAAAAATGATTTCCTCTCTCGAAGTGTACTATCCGCTGTTTTGTATATATAACCTTTGCGTAACTTACGCAAAGTCAAAGTTCACGGATCCGGATCTCCGGGGACGCTTTAAAAGGTGGGGCAAATCAAGATGCATCCGAATAGAAATATTTCAGGGCGTTGGTTGACGCGACGAACGTTGCATATTGCGACAAATTATTCACGTTGCAATTTCCAAGGGAAATCTCTGCGGCGCGCAAGCAACGCTCAACGTATCGCCAATCGGACGTTACCGTTCGCTGACGGAAGGGTGAAAATTCGAAAATGTCACATAGAAAGTTCCGAGTGGGGCCGATGAATGTGTGTGAACTTCAAGCCGCACAAAATCCCTACCTAAAATCGTTTCTAAATGGACGAATTCACGAGCCACAGCATAATCTTATTCAACAACATCATGACACGTGGCGACTATATTATAAATATATTTATACGACTCATTCATTTTCACGCGGCACTCGGTTCGCGCGGTGGTTAAAACAGAAGAACGCCTATAATAATTTTACTTTCTGCACGAGAAGCGATGAAGATAATAATTTATTAATAATTGCAAAAAAAATGAGCGCCAAACAATATAACTTCGAAACTGCAGCGTTTCTTGGGGAGATAAATTAGTACATTATTGCCCGCGGTTTCAAGTTCAACGATTAATAACAGATCGATATATGCAATTATTAATATGCATGCGACACTTTTACGTCCAGCGCACACTACATACATTTGCACAATTGTAATGCGACGTAGTCGTAAATTATTCGGCATTGCAATTTAATAACGCATTAATTAATCGTGAGGTACGTTTCCGACGCATTACGATACTATTACATTCTAATTATCGAGGTAATCGAGCTACTTCAGCGGCATAATTTATGTTGGACATATAGGATCATAAATTATATTTGAACTGACAGAGTGATTAGATCAATTCCAACATTGCGAAAGTTTAATCAACGTTTCTGGCATATTTCATGAAACGCGCAAATTTTCTTTAATGACAATTATGTTCAGAAAGTTCAATTTCAATTGAATTCAATTTATTCTTACAAGCAGAAACCGAACCAAACATGAATTCCAGCCAGTCTTGAAAAACGTATAAGCAACATCGCAGATTGATTCGTATATAAGAAACAATATTCCCGCGTAAATACAATTGAAATTGCAATTCCGCTGTTGCTACGTTCGCAGAGGTAAAATTAATTTCTCGATAATGGCATTATTCCTAATCAATAAAGCATTGTAAACTCATATTTTGGAATCTTTCGATGGCTTATCCGTTTCCGATAAATACGCGCGAATAATTGTCTATAGGGGCTTTTTCATCCTCCAATTATTGCTCTCGGACGCGTGTAAAATTAAACACCCGCTTCCGCGGTGGAATTTATCGGTCCGCGATAAATAATGAGAGCGCCTAATGCCCGTAACAAATGTACACCCGTTAAATCAGCTTCTAGGATTAAATGGAAAATCGGCCGATGTAACTCGCGGGTATCGTTTTGGTACGCAGCCAATTGTACGAGGGTAAAACGAAACAATCGATTATTTTAATATTGCAGCGATGTGCATGCTACGAGTCCCGTTGGGACTCGAAACAATTGTATTATACCCGGGCCTACGACGTGTCGCACTTGCGAGCGAGCGAACGAGCAAACTTGCAGAATAGCGTATACAAGTAAATGGAACACGCGAGAAACGTTAGACGTATGTATTTTGCACGAATAAAAATGTGCCGGTACAAAATAAAATACACTGAGAAAAAAAATTGTTGAAAAACGCAAAATTTATTTCATTTTACCAAAATATTTAGTTCGATACGTTCGACTAAACGTTACGATGACACAAAATAATTTGTTACTATTATAAACAAAATACTATTTTTTAACTAAACTATTTTGCTTCAACAAAAATTTATCGTATTCAACTCAACTGTTCTATTAAAAATTCACACTATTTATTATCCCCATCAGCATCGTTTAGTCAGTTCGATACTTGGAATTTAAACAAATATATTACTTGGATAACTAAATAGCATGCAAACACAAATAAATACTACTAGTATTTATTTCAAACAAAATAATTTAATTAAATTGGTTTAGTTAATTCTTAATTAAAAAATTTTGATAGTTGACATGAATAAACTATATCTTTCTTTGTGCAATTAAAGAATTGTTGAATTAACTATTGGATCAAACAACTATACAAATTTAGTTCGTACAATCAATTTTTTTCTCAATGTAAATAAATTGGAGAAAAATTTTAACGTGTACATAACTGTAATCCACATTTTTTCTCGGATATTCCATTCATCAAGTTAAGACAAGAACAATATATACTCTCAAACATTTGTTATAATTACATTATTAATAAATAAAATATTTTTTAACAAGAAATAATAAAAAAAACCTTTTCTACTATTATTATATCTAGATCTATATAAAACGTCGTGTATTAATTAAAGAAGAGAATGTACTGCGGGAGAATATTTCCTTAGTTAAGATTTAATGATCGAAATTAATCAATGCTTAAGAGTAGAAGAAAGGATTAATAGGACACGGTGTTATCTTGACAATTATTTCCGCTCCGTTTCATTAAAACGAAACGGCGGGAGCGAAAAACGTTCGAGTAAAAATCTGGACTGGCTTCGCTGGGATTAATTTGATGGCCGTTGGCGATAACCTTTGATTCGTCAGTGTCACTTAGCAATTAATCTGATTTAATCGCAGCAACGCTATTCTTGCTGACTATCTTCAATCAACAAATATTAGTTGAGGAAGAAAGAGAAATAATTGATGTTCTGACGGGTGAGACGCGTATACAATTGCATTGAAAGCAAAGCAACCATTCATAAGAGTACGAACTCAATAAATTCGCTTTATTTACCTTCTACCAATCTAATTGACAAACATATTGTAAACATACCAGTTCTAATTAAAATTTCCATAATAGAGATTACAAAAGAATGAAAGTACGCTTGGCAAAAACGTCAGAATGCTTGTTAATATTAAATTAATGTAAGTAAATTAAATGTAAAATAAATCGTGGAAATAATGTTTGTTAT